ACTTAAGCAATCTAGCGGTTCCCCCGTTGGGCAACGTGTGTTTGATCCCAGTCAAACTGGGCTGTGCAACCGAGAGGTAGTACATACCTAACAGGGAGATCATCGCTGACTAGGAACGAGACTCGATGTCTAAGTTTCCCTCCCGCGTATGGGAAAAGACACTCAATGTCTTTAAGGTAGTCGTTGACTACCATGCGCTGTTTGTTGGCACAAGTCGACTCCACAGGTCGACTCAGGCGTTGCACTTGCCCCTCTAAGCGCAGACTCTCAACGCACGCGCGACTAATGAAGTTCCGCGTCGAGCAAGTGTCATAATAGGCCCCGACCTTACGGCCGCCGATGACTATCTCGCCAACGAACAACTCACCCTTAGGGGCTTTGGCCACGACCGTCCAAGAAGCTAGCTGTTCCGTTCTAGACCGCTCCTCCTCTAGCTCCTTAAAGGACTCAAACACATTCAGAATATAGAGGATCGCTGGGTCCGAATGTGTATGCAGGATGACGATGGAGCTTGGGCCATCTCTCGAGATGGTGAGGGTGTGTCCACCACCTCGACCCTAGCAAGAACAACTACTATTCCTACTGGCCTGACGTGTTTCCCGGAGCAATGCCAAAACTGCTGGCCACATTGCTACCTACGGGAGCGGAGGATCTGGTCGGCGCTTGGGCAGTTAACCATAAACTGGACGAGTTCGGAACCCACTGGCTTTGTCCCGGTACCTGTCGCACTCCAGGCTATGGACCTTGGGGACCAGGCTGCTGCACTAGCTGCTGCTGTGCAAACTGCGAGACAACAGTCTGCCCGGTTACGACAACCTGCGACGGAGGTTGGGAATACACTGGCTGTAAAGGAACCTGTACACTAGGACCTGCTGAGAACCTGCTTGTCAAAGGCATACTTAGGGAAACGGCTTGGACCGATACTGGAGAGACATATGGGGAAACTCCAGTTACCGGTGGGACAAAAGGAGGAGGATGTACAATGGGCCAAGCACCGGGTCCAGACGGCGATGGAGCTGCCTGCCCCCGCCCGAACAATACGACCAGACTCTGCTGGATGTCTTGTAAGAGAGCCATCTGGTGGTCCTACATTTCTACTACATCTAGCAGGACGGTCCGTAGGGTCCTCACATTATCATCCATGTGCATCAGATCCATCTCCTCTAACTCGTTAACGCCCGCTTGTCTTCGCTGCATCCTGGCTCTTCTTCTAATCATTTTCTCTTTCTCTGCCTTAATCTCTCCTAACGCCTGCTGTAGCTGTGCCTCGCGAATAGCTGCTTGCTGTATGGCGACCTCCTTGGGGGCCAACACTATTGGCTGGCTTGCATAACGCCAGTGGACTGACTCAGGGTCTGTGCGACCGTTGACCCTACACTCCCTGAACTACTAGCCCGAGAGCTCTGCTGCGCAGCAGTTGCCATGGCTGCTGAAGTAGCGGCCTCGCTCACGAATGCCCTGCTTGCCTCTTCGGCCCTAGCCCTTTGCTGTTGCTGCTGTCTCTCTCTCTGCTGGCGGAACAGGTATCTGTCGCCAGCTGGTCCTAATGCCAAGTGGGCTGTCAGGCGTCTTGCCGATCGCAAGATCCTATCGTCCGGTTGTGGGACCTCCCTGTCACTCATAGGCTACAACATTGTACACTGTTTGCACTAGGACACTCTCGATGCCTACCGCAACATGATGTACAAACTGATTTACAATAAATAAAATAAATAATCGGTGGCTATGTCAGAGACTACTCATTCGGGTTCAACTGGTAAGTTCAGATTCCTACACACGAAACTATTTCTTCTTTGACTAGTTCACAAACAGGAAGCACAATGAACAGAGAACAATTCTTACTATGCTGTCTGTCAAATGTTAATGGTTGTACATCTAACTAATCAAAATAAAAATAGAATCATTTGATTGGCTGTTTGCAGAGTGGAATCTTTCCCAAACTTATCACCTGGAATCTACCCCTCCCTTAGTTCCTCCTGAATGTCTCTTGTCGTTAGCGTCCCTGAGCAATCCGGAACAGTGTGCGTGTCTAAAGGTGTGCACACGGCCCACCCCTGTGCCCCGAGTCCTGCTGAGCTGGCCAGCCCTGCACAATATTTATCCTCGCGTGCAGCGAGCCTTACACCGACCGATTGGCTGATCAGGAGGCATTTTTATGGACGGCCCCCGAAGTCCTCATGAATTATTTAATGTTGCAGACAGGACAACGATCACAACCAATGGAAGGTCCCCGCCGGTACTTATTTATAGACGTCCGGTACTCGTCTTTCCCGTAGGGCTGGCCTGCCCCTCAGAACCCATCTATAGCGCAGCGAGCAGACAAAGGACAAAGCAGCAAAGCATGCGTGCTCTACTCCTCGTGGGTTGGCATGGTGACCGTGACCCAGTGCTTCGTCCAGGGCCCTTCAGATAGCTCCGCCCTCTCCTTCCAGATGCTCCACGTGAACATTGATGACTCTCAAGGTTGAGCGCACTCGACTCCTCACCTGAGAGGACTCTCAAGACAGACCACACATCCTCACGGTAAGAAGTGCCGAAGAGGGTAGATAAGGTTAGGTGCAACGTACCTCAAAATAGCTGCCCCCAAACACAAAGATTCTCACCAAATGACCTGATGCCAATTGTGATGACCAATCGCTGCTTTGGCACAACCAGCATTATACCGCCGTTCCACCTCAGCATCAATCGCACATCAGATAGTTCTCATCACACTGCGAACACCCAATATTCACCACATAGCCTTCCTGACGATACCCCTCACCTCCTGGGTCGCCTTACTTGCCTTCGCCCTCCTCACTCCACACGTTCCCACGGCCGCTTGCTCAGCAGACAGCGTGCATGTACCGCTTAGGCAGAAGACAAGCGCCAGATGAGCGCACCGTACCACAGCTTCGATATCAAATTGCAAGGAAAATGAGCGATAGCGAACTTCAGAAACCAAGCAGCACCATACACATGAGACCAGATAGTCGTGACCTCGAACCAAAAGCAGAATTGCATCACGAGTCCCACCAAATAAGAGCACAGCAAAAGCTCATAAGTGACAATGTTCGAATAGTCTTTTCATCATCAACAAAGAACCAATGTCGACATCCTATTTGGCGCTCGGCGCCCAAACTACAAATGGCAAATCCTATCTAGCCTATGATGACGTCAACAGCTCCCCGAAGTACGAGCAGATCTCGGCCAATGCCATTTGCCTCAAGCACCAGGTATATCTCTCGCCTCACTCATAACCTCGATCCCCCACTCACAGATGCCACGTGCACCCAAGGACCACCATGTGCCCCATCCAGCATACAGCAGCGCAGCTTGGCTATGGCTGCCTGCTCCTTCCAGCTCGCCCGTGAGCGCGTGAGCACTGGCCAGCGTATTGCGCAGCATGCAGCCAGTGCCCGAATGCCGAATGA